ATTGAGACAAGAGGAGAGGCGCAGCAAAAGAATGAGGAGGAGAGAGTGAGAGGAGGATGCACGAATGAAGGAGGAGGGCGTGAGAGGAGGAGGCACGAAAAAAGGCGTATGAGTGACCGCTACCCCCTTAGCCTCTCCCCCACAGTGGTAGCATACACAGTATATGCGGCAGGCCGCTGCAAGAGCGAGGTAGGGGCGACAGGTGCTAATGCCCTCACAGGGTCGTCGAGCTGCTCCCCTGTCGGCGGCTCCTCTGCCGAAGTCGGTATCTTTGCCGACCACTCCCCTGAAGTCGACGCCTCTGCCAATGGCTCCCATGAAGTCGGCGTCGACGCCGACGGCTCCGCTGTCGTCTGTCGCTTCCCATTGCGTCACGTCAGCTACCGGCGATGCAACCGGTCGGCGCCGCAGGCGACGCACCAAGTCTCCCCTCATCGCCGGCGGCCGACAGGGATTCCTTCCCAGGAAGGTCGACGACGGGCGGTGAAGGGGAGGGAGTGGGGCGTGGCGGGATGTCATCGGCGTCCTCCTCATCAAGCTCGCCGTCCTCGGCGAGCAGGAGAGGCATCACCGAGGAGGAATCTGGTGGTGGGGTAGATAGCGTCCTTGTCGACGCCGGTCCGTACTCCACCTTCCACATCTCCATCGACAAGATCGCTTTGACCGTCGTGACAACCTGGGAAGGTTCTGTTTGGGATGCTTCGCGACCCCCAGAATATTCGCGTAACACCTGGGTTATCTGCATTGTGTCAAGACTATATATAGCCCAGGTGGATCAATCAATATTCATTCTTCAATTCTGAACTCGATCCTAGATCCTCACACTTGGTAATCAGAGCCGTTTACACGCTTTCGACCACTAAAACCCAGTCTTCAAAAACCGCGGGGGCGACGAACATTAAACACCGATTTCGGGTACGTAAAACCGATTTCGTGTTTTTCACTCCCCCTCGTTTTCGGTTTTTCGGACGCGCGATGTCAGGAATGGAGGGTGCTGGCAACAATTTCGTCACCGAAGTCGCAACCCTTCGCACGGAGATGGACCAGACGCGGGTGGCGCTTCAACAAATCGAAGCACTCCTCGCGAACCAGTCGGCAGCCGCCACAGCAGCAGTGAATGCAGCAGCGAACGTAGCAGCGACAGCAGCAACAGCAGCGGCGACACCGACTTTTCACGGACCAGTGGCACCACCTTCGCCGAACCTCGAAGCAGCTCGCCCGAGGCTCCTCGAAGCGTTCGATCCGAGCACGAGGGGATCGGACGTTCGACGATTCGTGGCAACCCTCGAAATTTACTTCGAGGCCATTGGCAGTTCGACCCCGACAAATGACGCAGCAAGGATTCGGCTCGCAGCGACACTGTTGCGAGGCCCGGTACTCGAATGGATTTACTACAGTGATGTGGTCCGCGGAGAGAGGACGTGGGCGCGGTTTCGCGCAGACCTCGACGCAATCGAAACATTTGAACCCGTAAATTCAACGTACATGGCGCGGCAGCAGATACACCGGCAGAAACAATACGGGAGTGTGGCACAGTACACGCAGCAGATGGAGCAGTTGTTTAATCGCATCACCGACCTGACCGAAGGCAAAAATATCCCATACCGCGCATAGACGATCTTCTAGACCAACTGCGTGGTGCAACAGTATTCTTGAAGCTGGACCTACGGTCGGGTTACTGGCAGATCAAGATGGCGGACAACTCGATCAACAAGACGCGTTCCGTACCAGATATGGCTCCTACAAATATATGGTGATGCCGTTCAAGCTCTGCAACGCACCAGCGACGTTCCAGGCGGAGATGAATCATATCCTATGGCCCCTGTTGGACGAATGAGTGGTGGTGTACCTGGACGACATTCGCATATACTCCAAGAACATGAAGGAGCACGTGGAGCATCTGCGGAAAGTCTTTGAGATCCTGCACGAGAACAAGTTCTACATGAAGCTGTCGAAGAGCGACTTCGCCCGGAAGAAGGTGCAGTTTCTCGGGAACATGGTGAATGCCGAGGGCGTACACGTGGACCCGCGGAAGATCGAAGCCGTCAAGAAGGGGAAAGTACCACGTGGAAGCTTCACAATGCTTTCCATGTTCAGCTATTGAAGCCCTACATGGACCCCAACCAGCAGTTCCAGGGACGGCAACTACCACCACCACCACCACCTGTTCTCATACAGGATGAACCAGAGTACGAAGTGGAGCGCGTCCTCACTCATCGGCGCCGCAACGGCAAGACCCTCGAGTTCCTGATATGCTGGAAGAGTTATGACCCCACAGAGCACAGTTGGATTGCAGAAGCTGATATGGGCAACGCGCGCCTTGCTCTCAAGAACTGTCTTATCAAGCAGGGTGTTTCTCACGCCACCCAGCTTTGAGGGGGGGACGTGTGAGAGTACGACGGCTTATGCTTGCTTTGCTAGCTTACTTTGCCTTTATTATGCTATTTCTAGCTTAGGTTAATTTTATCATGCATAGATATGTTTGATTTCCTAGGTTAGGTGCATTCCTATATTCTATTATAGTTATAGCACCGAACCAGGTTACGTGTACCGAACTCAAGCCTTTCAATTCCCACCGAATTGCTTTCTACCGAGTTCGAGAAGGTTCTGTTCGGGATGCCTCGCGACCCTCAGAACATTCGCGTAACACCTGGGTTACCTGCCTTGTGTCGATACTATATATAGCCTCGTGTTGTACCCAGGTGGATCAATCAATATTCATTCTTCAATTCTGAACTCGATCCTAGATCCTCACAGCTGACCATCGAGCACGTGATCTGAGAATGGTAAATTAAATAACGTGGTTGATCCAGGGGTAAGAACCCACGCACTTGGCTGTGGCAAGAACAGAATTTATCAACATAGCCGGAAATTCCTGACTGAGGGCTCAAATGTTCCAGCCTTGACGTGACATATCGTTTTCACATTATCCCGGTATTGTGTGAGTGAGTGTCATCAATCTGGCCGCCAAATCCCCTGCCATTGATTTGCCAGATATCTTCACTACAACTATTTTTACGGCAGTGTCCCGTCTTTTCTCGTGAATCTCCCCGCACTAAAAAATCTGTAAGTGAAATCGTGCCAAAGCTTTCATGCCCTTGTCTCTCAACTCTGCTTATTATCTTCCCTCATACCCAGTCCCTCACCCTCATCATGATTCACAACCCTTCTAGTCCCCCCACCTCTGCTCTCCTCTGTTCTCTTGTCCACCCTCTAACTCTGCGCCCGTTGCAGCTTTCTTAAGTACAACTACCTCACTGGCACCATCCCAGCCCTGCCGGCAACCATGGAAGCTTTGTTCTTCGAGTACAACTACATTACAGACGTGGTCACTCCTACTCGCGAATGCTATGGCACCAACAACTGCCTCTCTGATCCCACCAAGTGCCAAAGTGGCGGAATTCAAAACCGAGCTGCTGCTGATTGCGCCATCTGTGGCACTACCAATGGCATCGCACCCTTGTGTTGGGGCGCTGGTGGGGAGTGCATGCCCGATTCTGCTTCTAGAATTGCATCGGGCACAAGCAACTCACCTTCTCAGCCACTTCTGCCCATGTTCTGCTCGGGTAACCCTCGTTTTCCCCCTCAACGTGGGTGCGGCAGGCAGGGGTCTGTCTGGGCGGGGATGTCACATGGGAATGACCTGCATGCTGCGCTCTTAGTGCTGTTTGGTTCAAGCTGCTTTCCATACTCGTTCATCCTTCGCCTTCTCCTGCACCTGCTGCTGCTTCTTCTTCTTCTTCTGCTGCTGCTGCTGCTGCTGCTGCTGCTGCTGCTGCTTCTTCTTCTTCTGCCTCTGCTGCTGCTGCTGCTGCTGCTGCTGGTGGCGGTGCTGGTAATGATGGTGATTTACTTATCTGCCTACGTTCTGCACGTCCCCAAACCTCCCTGTAATCTTATCTGCAGGCGGTTCTGTAACTTCCGTGTCATCTACCAGCGCTGCAGGTGTGTGGGTGCTACGCCTTGTCTTGTCATCCATGCACCATCCATCCATTAGTCCTGCGTAGGTTTTGGCATTTTGTTGAATGTGCAACCCCAACTTGGCGGGGCTAAAAATCCAAATTGCGGTTTGGTTTGGTTTGGGTCGAACCTGTTAGTCTCAAACCAAACTTCTGCTTTCCTTAAGCAATTGTTTTAAAACCAGGGTGCACATTCAACGCGGTTCGGCTTGAGATGTTGGGAAGGGGGTTTGGAGAAAAACAGTGATTGGCTCACGAGGGGCGACAAAAAAATGATTCCGCTAGAGCTTCGGGCATTTCGTAGGTGGCGGGAGGGGGTGAAATGGCGGGAGTGGGTGAAACCGAATGGCGGGAGGGATGAAACAGATTGGCGGGAGGGGGGGGAAACGAAATTGCGGGGGAGGGGGGAAACAAAATTGCGGGGGAGGGGGGAAACGAATTTCGACGGGGAGGGGGAAATGAAATTGCGGGGGCGTGGGGAAACGAAATTGCGGGGGAGGGGGGAAACGAATTTCGACTTGAAGGGGTTGAAAGCACACCTCGTAACCCACTCAGTCAAGGGATAACCTTTGATGCACATTCAGCTGAATGTGCACCCCGGTTTTAATCGAGCAGTTCGTTCGTTCGACTTCTCGGGCCGAGCCGCATCACGTGGAACAATTTTGATGCAAAAAAATGATTGCTTGAAACCTTCAAAGGTCTGACGCTGTACCCGGGTGACTCGAATTGCACAGTATTGGTGGTTATGTTGAAAACCAGAGCAGATGGGAGTTGTGTATCTTTGTTTTATGTTTCCCTAAATCCCTTCAAACCCCCAACCAATGTTGTGCCAAACAAACGTGGAAATGGAGACACGTAATAAAGCGACATCATGGCGAGATGATGCTAGTACTGGGGTAATGTAGGTTCGGTTCGATTCAACCCCTTCCATGCTCGCACTGCGATTCGCGAACCTCATTCCCACGCAGATCAATCTACTTGACCGACAGGTTCGGCTCGACCAAGGGGATGGGTGGGGGGTTGATGCGGTTCGAGTCGGACATGTTTGAGCTTGGTTTTTGGCCATCCGTAGTTGCAATTTCCTTCTCCCTGCGACTCTCTTCTTTCTACCTCCTGGTCTCCCGTATCCGGGAGACCAAACTCTCCCTTTTCAAATATATATTCCCAAGCCGTTCTCGCACATCTCCCACTATCTCTCCCCACTCCTCCTCACTCTTCAACACCTCCCCCTTCGCCAGCGCTGCTGGCGCTCAAGGCATCACTGGGAGTGACGTTCACCTCGTGGGCAGCAAGTGTGCCGTGCCAAGTGGTTGGCAAGCAGGCTGCTGCACAGACCACGTGGTCCGGTGTGCTCTGTGGCTATACCGGGGACGTGCTCTACATGTGAGCACCCATGCATGCATGCTACAGCTTTATGGGAGGGGAAGGGAGGGGGGGGTCAGACAGGTAACCATCCGGCCTCTACCAACTTCCTTTCACACCCATCTCTCTACCTCTCCTCATCACCCCCCTTCAGCTCGGTGGCACGTCAGAGTCTAAAGGGGTCTATTCCTACGGACATCTCCAAGCTCACCGCGCTCACTTACCTGTAAGGGTGAATCGGGGAGTGCACACACAAGGACCTGCAAACGCATTTCACAAAGACAGGCTGACTGCATTGCTGAGTGCTCAATGGGGAATGCCTCATTGTTGAGTCGAGTGCTCTCGTGCCACCACACCAAGGAAAAGAAGTTTCTGGTTCTGCTATCTAAGAACAGCCTGCTGCTGCTGGCGGCTGGGCCATTGCCAGTCATTTGGGCACGGGGTAAGGGAGATGGGAATGGACACGGACGGACCAATCGTTTTCTCTCATCACATATCCATGGTGAACGGCTGTCCTTCACCACCCCCAGAGAAGGTGATTATGCATGCATGTGTGTTTCTGCATCCTCCGACCTGCCTCCAGCACAACCAATCGCTTCCAGAAATGTTCTTCACATTTTTATTTCTCTCCCTCACCTGCTTTAGGGATTTCGGCTACAACCTTTTTCAGGGCAGTCTTGACGGGTTTGCCACACCAATCAAAGACATGACCTCTCTAAAGGCGCTGTAAGTACCTTCTCCCCTTTATAAGCTGCAATATCGTTCCCATCATTGCTAGTGTGTAGTGTACGTGGTTTACAAAGCCAAGCTAAGCAAAAACTTCGGTATCATTTTGTAACCCTTCCTCTGGCCATCCTCAAAATGCATTCTATGTGGACCTCTCATTCTCTTCTTTTGCGGTGCATCCCTGCTTCTACCCTCCAGCTTCTTCAACAACAACTGGTTTGCGGGAACCATTCCCTCCTTCATCGCCTCCCTGCCACAGCTTACCACCCTGTAAGCCAAACACACAGCTGCTAGCTAGGATCGGCAGATGCATGCAGGAGCCTCGTTGCGGTCCTTCCTGGTCTTGCCTGGACGCAGCTCGCTTACCCTCTGCTCTCTCACATCTCACTTTCGTCTCACTCTCATGCCTCTTCTATCTGTGCCTCTTCTTCTTCCGTTTCCTGTGCTCGCCTCTCCATCCCCCCTTATACCCCTCCCCCCCCAGAGGCCTCTTCTCCAACTACCTCACGGGCACCATGCCCACCCTCTCGACCTCCCTGATCGCTCTGGACGTGGGCTTTAACTTCCTCTCGGGCTCCTTCCCCAATCTCTCCCTCGCGGTCTGTGCGGCCGACCAGAACTGCTTCCTCGGCTCCTCCTACTGCCACACCTACAGCTCGCTGCAGCGCCCCGCCACTGCCTGCGCCATCTGCGGCACAACCAACGGGCAGGGAACGCTGTGCTCTGGTGCACTTTGCTCCGCCAACAGCTCTGTGCCAGTCAGCCAGGGAATCGTCAACGTCCCCTCGCTGCCGCCGGTGTCCCTGACTTGCCGGGGTGCGTGTCGATTGTTGATTGGCCGAGAGTATTCGTATAATAAATCAGCACAAAAAAAACGCCATCTGAAGGGCGTGCTCAAGGAATAGATATGATGTGAACCTCCACCATTGAAAAATGAATGCAACACTTTGTCTGTTTCTTGTTCAAGGCCACCATCTACATGTCCTTTCTTCATCAACATTTCGCCAATCAATTTCCACCTGAATCCAGTCAGACTGTTCTGTTGGTTCGTGTCTCTGACTGTTCCCTGTGTGTGCCTGCCTGTACAGGGTATGCTCCTCTAGTCCTCATGAACGCTGCCTCAGGTGGACCTTCTCTCTCAACGCCATCACCCATGCCCCTCCTACTCTCGTACTGCACTCTCACTTATTTCCTACTCACCCGCGCATTCGTCTTCCTCTCCCACATTCCCTCTTTCAACCCCTCCAAATCGTGATTAATCCACCCTCCCCCACTTTTCCCTTTCCCTCCCCCCGCCATTCTCTCCATCCAGTGTCCACGATGCTATCCATCAAGTCATCACTGGGTTTGACATTCACGGATTGGGCCGCCTCCTCTCTATGCCTCGCGGGAATTGGAGGTATCCAGAGAGGAGTCACCACCTGGTCTCGTGTTGATTGCTCCATTGACGGATCACCTTCATCAATGTAAGTGCTCCATGAACACACGTCTGTGTGAGTTTTCTAAGAAATCATGAGTCTGCAAGCGTTTCAAAACCTGAGGCATGCAAATCCAATGGGTCGACCCACTCGTCGCATTTCATTCATCCAATATCCATACGGCTATTTTTTTCCCCACTGCTCCCTGTCCGTTGTACCATACGCACTTGTCTGCAGCAAGTTTGCGTTTATGTTCTTGAAGGTCACTAGCGTGCCTGCTGACATATCCAAGCTCACTGGCCTCACGAATGTGTGAGTCCCTCTCTCTCTCCTCAAACTCTCACAAACTTGGAAGCATCTCTTCGTGCTGTTTCAATGCCTCTGCTGTCTTCTGCTGTCATGCCACGTGCTCTTATCTCATGCCACGTCATGCCATGTGCTGCCATGCCACGTCATGCATGTACTCCCTGTGTTCCCATCCGCCTGCCCTCCATCAGAATCCTTAATTACAATCTTCTCACCGGCCGCTTGGAAGACTTCGCCACCACCCTCAAGGGGTGTACATCTCTACAGGCCCTGTTAGCCGTCAAAAGCATTTGAGCAGTCAAGAGCATGTGAGCAGTCAAGAGCATGTGAGCAGTCAAGAGCATGTGAGCCGTCACGAGCATTTGAGCAGCTGTCAAGAGCATGCGAGCCTGTAAGTTGAGTACCGTAAAATGAACAACAAGGCAGTTTAAGGTGTAAGAATCCATGCAGTTGGATGCACAATAACTTCACCGTAAATGTCCTGGCATTTTTATTTCACATCTCAACAAGCGGTATTCTTGTTGTATAATCAAAGGGATGGATGGGGGCATGCATTTAACTGGAAGGAGAGTTTGCTGCTCGAATCTCAGCAACGGGTTCAACAGGAACGGGTTCACTCTCAGCAAGCCGCGAATCGTCAGCCTGAGTGCCATTGTTTATCCCCACCAACTCTCCCACCCTTCACTTGGCAGAACACTAGAAGCCAACTATCTATACGGCTCAGTCCCTTCGTACCTTGTGAATCTCCCAGCTCTCACATATCTGTAAGTAGCATCATGCCATACCTTTCAGTCCAAGTCTTTCAGACCCTTTCCCTTCTCTCAACTGTGCTTCTTGTCTCCCCTCCCCTCACACAAAACCCCTCGTCACATACCCTCACTCCCACTCTCCTCAGAGGGATCGGTTCCAACTTCCTCACTGGTAGCATCCCAGCCATGGCTACAGCCTTGAAGTCTCTCAACTTCCAAAACAACTACATTACGAGCATTGCCACCCATTCACTCAACTTTTGCAATGGCCGTTCTTGCTGCCTCTCCGATCCTTCCAAGTGCTCCAATGGCGGGACATTCCAAAGATCCGCTGCTGCGTGCGCCATCTGTGGCACTACCGATGCCGTCGATCCCTTTTGTTGGGGCGCCGGTGGGGAGTGCGTGGTCTCTGCTGGTGCTAACATTGCAGCCGGCACAGTGAATTCCCAAGAGCTCCCGTCTGTCCCACTCATGCTCTGCTCAGGTAACATGCCTTCACCCCCTGTGTGAGTTCCACACTCTCCTTAGCCACCTCGCCTGATCGTTGGTGCAGCAGGCTTGTGTGTGTCTGGGACTGGGATTCTCGCATAAATGAATGTGCGTGGTGCGTTCTGAGTGGTGTGTCTGTCAAGCTGTTTTCCATACTCATTCACCCCTCGCATGATGATGATGACGATGATGATGATAATCGTGATTCACTCACCCACCTACCCTCTGTACGGGCCAAAACCTCCCTGTGACCTATTGTGCAGGCGGTCCTATAACTGCCGTGCGATCTACCAGTGCTGCAGGTGTGTGGATGCTACTCCTTGTCTTGCATTGTCATCTATGCACCACGAAGTTTTTTCGTGGTTTCTCTTCTCAATAACCTTCCAATGTCTTTCTCTCCACATCTCTCCTAATCTTTGTACATATTTTCCCCCCTTTCCAACTCTCCACTCTGTCCCCCTGCTACTCTATTTCCTCCCACCCTTACCCTTACCCCTCCCCCCTCCGCGCCCTCCCTTATGCCAGCACTGCTGTCGCTCAAGGCATCGCTGGGAGTGACGTTCACCTCGTGGGCAGCAACTGTGCCGTGCCAAGTGGTCGGCAAGCAGGCTGCCACACAGACCACGTGGTCCGGCGTGCTCTGTGGTGATACCGGGGACGTGCTTTCAATGTGAGCACCCATGCTTCAATTCAACCATGCGATAGCTTGGCATCTGGCGACGATCTTCATCTGGCACTATTTCCTGTAATCCTAACTTCCATGTGAGCGGGATGTTACAACGACGAAAGTTTTTTTTGTTTATTCACAGTTTCCCCCATCCTTTATGATAACCTCCCTGCCTGCCTCTCTCACCTTCCTCACACCCTCCCACCTGCCTCTCCCAACACTCCCCTCAGCTCGTTGGCACGTCAGAGTTTGAAGGGATCAATTCATGCGGACATCTCCAAGCTCACCGCGCTCACGTACCTGTAAGTCTCGAGTGGGAAGTGTGCTGCTTGTAAGGCAGAGCCATGCTTAATTAATTGCCAAGGTAGTGTTGTGTTCAGGTCGGATGGTAAACTCTCTGCTACCCATGCGAAATATGTGGACATTATTTCTCAGGATTCTGAATATATTGCACCTCACACAAATCAAACTTCCCAAATCGCTCCAATTCCCAACTCTAACCTCGCCGCCCGCCCTAGTGACTTTGGCTACAACCTCTTCCAAGGCCGCCTTGACTCGTTCTCCGCGCCACTTAAGACCGTGCCCAGCCTCAAGGCGCTGTGAGTACCAAACCAGCCACAAGTTTCTCTTTCACTCTGTGAGCTCACGCTCCTGCTTTCGCTGTGAGCACCAAACCTCATGTTTGATGGCGCCTTTTGACTTCTAGTTTTGTGTCGCCTCAAATCATGAAATAAGCTACCTGGTTCATGCTCCCTAGTATTTGTTTTTAGGACATACGTCTGCCCTTTTATATGTAATCTCTGAAGGCATTTTCCCTTTTGTTTTCCCTTTCATGTCCCATCACTCCTCCTTCGAATCCCATTCGGGCTGCTCCAGCAGTACCTCAACTCCTCTCTCCTCTCTGTGCACGTTCCGTTCTCTGTGCCTATGCTTGCCCCTGACCGTGAACCTGTGTGTGAATGCACGCCTGTTTGTGGCTGTACAGCTTCGCCTGTGGTCGTAATGGATACCGCCTCAGGTGAACATTCTCTTCTAGAAGCACACCTTACCATTCTACTGCATTCCTCACCCCTTCGTTTCTCGTGCACCCGCCAATTTTCCAGCCTCTATTGGACAGCCCCCCTTTCCCCCCTTCGCCGATCTCAAATGTCCCAAGCGTGTTGAACCACAAACCCCATTGCAAGGTCACACGCCCCTCTAACTCCCTATTCTCTGTTCCAATCCTCCTCCTCTTCCTCCTCCTCCTCCTCCTCCTCCTCCTCCTCCTCCTCCTCCTCCTCCTCCTCCTCCTCCTCCTCCTCCTCCTCCTCCTCCTCCTCCCCCTAACCACCATCTCCCCCATCTCGCCCCATCCCAGCATCGGCTCTACTGAGCGTCAAGTCATCTCTGGGAGTCACCGACTCCACCTGGGTCGCCGCCTCTTCCTGCAACACCGGTGGTGGCGCCACCAGCCTTGCAAACACCTGGAATGGCGTGCGCTGCTCCACTTCTGGGGCCGTCATGAGTGTGTGAGTGCTGCACGAAACCACGAGTGAGTGAGTGCTGGTTTAACTGTGATGTTGATAGTCTCGGTGGCTACCAGCCAAGACATTTCAAATTTGCTGAATAAACTGATCCTCTGCAGCTTCAACATGCCTGGCTCGCTCCTGGATTGACCAGTCTGTGGAAAAGCTTCAAGAAGGGTCTCAAACCGCTGCATTTTCTGTCATGCTAGTGCCTTGGAGGTTGAATTACAGAGTGCCAAATGGTAGTCCTTCATCTTCACTATCCCGTCTTGTTTCCACATCTCATCTTCTCTGTCTGTTATGTGATCGTCTTGTTTCCCATGGGCTCATTCCATACAGTTAACAGTCCTTTATATTTGCCTGAGGATGCTCCCGTCCTCCGCACTCCCCACTCCCCACCCCTTCCCCCCCTCCCCCCCCTCCCCCCACCTCCTCCCTCTTCTCACCCTTCTGTGGTGGTTCCATTACACTCGTCTTGGCGGCGTGCAGGAATGTGACTTCCATGGGCCTCAACGGCACTGTGCATGCTGACATCTCCAAGCTCACTGCCCTCACATCCTTGTCAGTTCCCTTCTTCTCTTCCTCTCCTCCCTCTCACTATCTCATTCTCTCCCTTGACCTCTGTCCAACCCTCATCCTACCCCGTCCCGCTTTGGTTCCCTTTGCTATCCTCCCTTCCCGTTGCACTCTATCATCTTATCCCGTTCACCTGGAGCATCAATTAAACCTGCTCTTTATCTGATCTGAACGTTGCTCCACAAATTAAGATGCGCATCCCAACAACCTCAGCACGTTGCCTCCATACCCACCACCCCCCTCGCCCTCCTCCCCCCAATGCCTCAGGGACCTGTCGAGCAACCTCTTCCGCCAGAACCTCGCGTCATTCACTTCTGGCTTCTCCAAACTCCAGGCTGTCAAGCAGCTGTGAGTGCCGCCCGTGCTGAGAGAGTGACACACCCCCATCCCATGTTGCTCTTGCTTTGCTCGTGAGCGCTCATGTATCCACCGTTATTGTGAAACGTCACAATCGATGTATTCGAAATTCCAATGTTTCAGTGTGCCCGTCTCTGCGCCAACCTTCATTTGATGTCTCACAACAAATTCAGCTTGTTTCAGTGGTCTTATTTGCCTGGCCTCGCCTCTTCCCCTCCTCCAGCCTCTCACACAACACAAGTACCTTTCCTGCTTCCTCGCACATACCTCCTTCCTCTCCCTTGCCTTCTTCCACTCCCTTATCTCCTTCCTCTACCTTCCTCATTCTGCTCCCTTGCCTTATTCTACTTCCTTCTCTCGTTCTGATAAAAATTCCGTTTTTATTTTGCCTTTTCAGCTCCCTTGCGTCTTCCCTCTCCCTTGCCTCCTTCCCCTCCCTTCCCTTATTCTTCTTCCCCTCCTTACAGCCATCTCAACAACAACTGGTTTGCCGGCTCCATTCCATCTGCCCTCGTCTCCCTGCCCACCCTCGCCTACCTGTAAGTACATCCACCCTTCCCACCCACACAATGCAATTGGTGCTGATTCCTTATGTTGTATGACCTGAACTGCGACAAGTACCGTACGATGTGCAATTGTTTCGGAACCAAGTCACACCGTATGGGCCTGGGGTCATCTGATATGCCACCGTTCTCTGGCTCCCGAGCTTGTCCACATAGTACACACCACACTACAACACTGACCTATGATTCTGTAATCTTCACTATATTTGTGAGCCATCCATCCCACTAACTAAAAAATCTTAACTGAACCACCTGAACCTGAACCACCTACCTGTAGGGACCTGCATACAAACGCACTGACCGGGACGGTGCCAGCCCTGCCGACCTCACTCCTCTCCCTCGCCCTCCAAGACAACTTCCTTGTGGGAAGCTTCCCCTCGGCTTCGCTGACGAGCTGTGACGCCAGCAGCAACTGCCTGGCGAGTGCGATGGCATGCAGCGAGGAGAGCGCTGCGGCTCAGAGGGACTCCGAGGCGTGTGCCATCTGCGAGTCGCAGGACGGGCAGGGCTTGCTGTGCTTCGGAGGATCATGCTTGCCAGCCGTAGATGGCAGCACCGTACATGCTGATGGCATGGACCCTCCTGACATGTACTGTATTGGTGAGTCATGCCACGTGGTGGTGGTCAGTTCTATCATGTCATCGTGGTGGTGGTCATGGCATATTCCAGCAGTTCTTCATCATGGCACGGCATGGCAGTGTGTGCATCACGAAATCTGGTGTATTGGGCAATCAAGGTCGTGGCTATATCTGTCTATCAATCTCGACTACTTCACAACTCTGTCCATCCATCTCTTCTCTCATCTTTAGCCGCCCTCATTCCTCTTGTCTTGCTTGCCTTTCTCCCTGCCTCACTGCAGAAGCGCCAGTGGTCACAATCCATGCCACCGATGGTGAGGGAGACACATTTGAGTTTGAGAGACTCCTCAGATGGATGGAATCATGCTGTGCTGTCCGATAGACATTGGCAAACTTTAAGGGGTTTTCCAAAGTTCAGTGTGGTATGCTTACTTTCACTCCACCCACCACCCTCACTGCCAAACGTCGTCCCTGCTTATCCCCTCTCCTACAATGTCAGTCACTCAACCTCCTTTCTTCTGCCATCACTGCCCCTCCTCCCTCCCCTTAATTTACCCTCCTCGCCCTTCCCCGGACCCAATGAATATAGCGCAAGCGCTGCTGGCAGTGAAGGGCGCGCTGGGGGTGACCTTCACAACGTGGGGGCTTGACAAGCCGTGCACCACGGCTTCTGCAGGGCCGGCCATTGAAGGCACCCTCACTGCCGTGTCCTGTAACCCTTTCGGCCGAGTCCGCACCTTGTGAGTCCTCACCACCACTGCTTGTAGACATTTCACACTGCTGCTGTTGCTGTTGCGGCTATTTCTTACTCCGTTGTGGATCATTGCGTTGTGTCGCTGTGCTAGTAAATGCCTACCACTTCTGCTGCCAACAATTTCTTCTGCCACCTGACTCAACCAGCTGCCACCATCATTCTTCCTTCCTTCCACATCCACTTTTTTCCTTCCAGGCAACTGAAGAGTCTCAACCTAGCAGGCACTCTTCCTCGTGCAGTCACCGATCTCACAGCTCTCACTTCCATGTAAGCGTGCCTTTCTCTCTTGCTATGCCATATCCTATCATGACGTGCCCAAAATTGAACATTGTTGCACTACAATCATGTTAGCACGATCTGCATTCATCTGTGTCACCTCTCGCTGTTTTCCACAGCCCTGCTTCTCCATGCTTCCACACCCCTCTCCCTTTTGATTGTATCACCACCACCCTCCCTTTCTTCACACCCCCTCTCCCTGTTTCTGTAAACCCCTCTCCTTCCCTTTTTCCCACCCGCCTCTATACTTTATGCCAGCGATCTGAGCGGCAATCTCTTTCAGGGTCGTCTGGATGAGGTCGCCACGCACCTTCACCTTCTCACCGCCCTCCAGTCCATGTGCGTTGCTCTCACCATCTGTGATCTCACCAGATTTTCTACCGCCCTCCAGACAGAGGTCGTTTGTCTCTTGCACGTGTGTTTCGGCATGCTGCCTTGTACGGCAGCATAAAATCACAGGCAGCTTTGCATGCCATGAGTCCCACTTGCATTTATCCGCCTTGATGTTAAGTACACCAGTCTCATTTATCCGCCTATTTAGTCCACATGCTCTTTCGACACCCACCCTCCCCCTCCTCCCCCTTTATGACTTGCAGCAACCTCTCCTTCAACTGGTTCTCTCATACTGTCCCTGGATACCTACTCGCCCTTCCCAATCTCTCCAACCTGTGAGTTCCCATTCTTACTGTGCTGCGATCTTTCTTCCACCAGTCGGCTACAGCACACCTTCTTTACCCTCCCTTCACCTCATTCCTTTCCCTCTCCACTCTTCACATGTTATCCCATACCATCTCCTTGTGTATCTCACATCCACCTGGCTACCTTGAAAATCCTCAAAACTCCTCACCTCCTTGCTTTCACCGGCACCCTCCCCTCTCCACCCATGCATGCCATCACATCTCCTTGCATGCCATCACATCTCCTTGCATGCCATCACATCTCCTTGCATGCCATCACATCTCCTTGCATGCCATCACATCTCACATCCACCCCTCACTGCTGGAAAAACCTCCAAACTCCTCACTCACCTCCATGCTTTTCACCCACACCCTCCCCTCGCTGCCACCCCCCACCAGCGCGCTGGGCTTCAACTACCTGACGGGGTCGCTGCCTGGCAGCATAGCGGCGCCTCTCAAGGCTCTGGACGTGCAGTTCAACTTCCTTGCCGGCTCCTTCCCCGCCCTCGGCCTCGCCTTCTGCTCCGCCCGCATCAACTGCTTTGCTTCCACCGCCAACTGCAAGCACCCCACAAGGCCGGCCGAGATCCCGCGTGCAGCAGCTGCCTGTGCCATCTGCAACACCACAAACGCTCAGGGCAAGCTCTGTAGCAACATCATTGGTGGTGGGATCTGCAGTGTTATTCCTCCTCCCTCGCTCCTGCTCCCACCAGGCACACCCAACAGGGCTTCATCGCCCGTGCTCCCTCTGGTCTGCACCGGTGCTACAAGTGTGCCCATGGATGCGGCTCAAGCCGCTGCGCTGATGAATGTGAAGGTGGCGCTGGGAGTGTCGTTTCCAGACTGGCGGGTCGATGCCCTCTGCACCCTCGTGGGCTCGCCCTCCCCGGCTCCGGCACGTGGAATGGCGTCGCCTGTGATGATTCGGGGAAAGTGCTCCGAGTGTGAGTGCCCTGCCTGCTCCTACTGTGTGTGTGGTTTCCAGGAAGGTGATGCAGTGCCTCCACCATACCTGTTCCCAACCCAGTGGCAACCGTTCAGCCACTGGTTAAAATGCACCTTCCTCCTTGGGCATATTTCTCACTGTTACCTTTCTTGTGTCTTTCACGTTCTCTGCCCTTTCCGCCGCAATGAATCACGACACGCAGGTCGCTCAAGGGGCAGGGCCTCACAGGGAGCATCCACTCGGAGATCTCCAAGCTCACCACCCTCACCGTGCTGTGAGTACACATGCTCACCACCTGTTTCAGCTTTCAGGCACAGTACAGCACATGCACAGCACAAACCGCACATGCACAGTGCAGCACAGCACCGCACATGCACCTGCTATCTGTCATCCATGGCTTGTGCATGTTGGTATTTCATCCTGTTTCTGCCTAGCAACACCTCCTGGTTTCCCCTTGTGCGGTTTCTGACTCTTTTCTGCACCTCTGCCCCCTGCACCATTCCCCCCTGCACCTCTCCCCTATTTCTGGTACGGCAGTGACCTGCAGTCCAACCGGCTGGAAGGCAAGATGGACGCCTTCACTGCCAACATCAAGGCGCCTCTTGTGCTCAAGGAGCTGTCAGTGCCTCCTCACCCCACCTACCCATGCTTCCGTCATCACATCCACTCATCCATGAGTTCTTGCATCCTCCCACCTAGACATGAAAACATTGTGAACAAGAAGAGGTTGTTGTTGTTGTTGTTGCTGTTGCTGCTGCTGCTGCTGCTGCTGCTGCTGCTGCTGCTGCTGCTGCTGCTGCTGCTGCTGCTGCTGCTGCTGCTGCTGCTGCTGCTGCTGCTGCTGCTGCTGCTGCTGCTGCTGCTGCTGCTGCTGTCATTGTGGTGTGTGCGTGCGTGCGTGGGTGCGTGGGTGCGTGCGTGCGTGGGTGTGGGTGTGTGTGTGTGTTTTTTTCTCTCAATCGTTTCGGCTCATTGGTTGCGGCGGTTCCCTCCTCCTTCGCCCTCTCTCCTCCATCGCGTCCATCCCACATGCACTCATGCAGCTACCTGCAGTACAACTACCTCTATGGCGTCTTCCCCTCGGCCCTCCTCGCCCTCAAAACCCTCTCAACACTGTGAGTGATCATAACATAGCATGATCAGCACGTGATGCTGCTCATATGCTGAAGCAGGGCCTTTGACTCGCCTGGGGGAGTTCTGTTCGAAACAAGATGTTCAGCATACACCCCAACATCCTCGAGAAGTCGATTAATCTCTCCCGATGTTCCTAGCTTTTTGTCCTTCTGGTCAAAGCAAACAGACGAATCTGCTACCATAGTTTATGATCCCAACTTGAGCTATATTGCAGTTCACAGCACTGCATAGGCCTAGCATTGTGGCACATCCACCCACATAGCTCATCACCTGCCTCTCACTCTCTCACATGCTGCCTGCCTGCTCGTCTCCTGCATAGCCTCCTCCACCACGACACCAGCGTTGCGGCCTTGCTTCCTCTCAGCAGCTGCCTTTCTTCAATAGATCTTATGTAACAACCCTTCTCTTCTCCCACCCTCCTCCACCACGCCATCAGCTCCGTGGCCTTCAACTACCTCACCGGATCACTCCCCACCGCACTCCCCACCACGCTCGCCTCTCTGGACGTGCAAAGCAACTTCCTGGCGGGTTCCGTGGCGGCCAACAGCATCCCTTACTGCGCCAGCACGGGAAACTGCCTGGTGGACGCGTCCAAGTGTGCATCACTGGGACTGCCACAGCGCAGCGCCGCTGAATGTGCCGTCTGTGGCTCCACCAACGGCCAGGGTGCTCTGTGTGCTGCTGCCACCACCTGCCGGGTTGCTGCTGCTGGGGCTGGGGTTGCGTCTCCCCCCACTGCGCTTTCCGCTAGTCTCCCTCTCTTCTGCGAGGCTGTTCCCATGGACCTGGTTACAAGTGAGTGTGCTCCAGTGCCCCTTATGTGCACCTCTGCTATCTCTCCTTTGTAAAGGTTAGTTGATATGAATGAGTGACAAATACAAAAGCGGATGGGTGCCAAGGCAAGAGCTTCTATTCACTCCTTTTCTCGTTTATCTCATCTTCTGAGTGTTTCCCTACATCCGTCCCACCCACCTCCCCTCCCCCCCCCCCCCCCCCCCCCTCTGTCCCCCCCGATCCGTCACCTCCCTCCTCAACTCATCCCTCCTCCCCTTCCACCCCTCTACCCTCCTGCTCTGTGTTCTCCGCCACCCGCCCTCCATTCCAGCCCAAACCATGCTAGCCATCAAGGCCGCACTGGGGGTGACGCTGACAGACTGGACTGCCACCCTGCCGTTGCTCAAGCCCTCCAGCCCCACCTCGCCCAAGTCGCTCCCTCGCAGCAGCAGTGTGCCGCTGGCAGGGTCTCTGGGAACGTGCACGTTGGAGGGGCAGACTCCCGGCCCAGGCGCATGGACCGGCGTCTACTGCAGCTCCAAGGGAGTTGTTGTGGGCATGTGAGTGCTGCCATGCTGCTGTGCTTTGTCATGCTGCTGTGGGTGTTTAATTAGTTGCTTATTGTGTTTTCATCGGAGCTTCATTGTGTGGTGGATGGATTGAGTGAAAATTCGCCCTCTTGTTTTCATTTTCTCTGCTCTCCCACTCTTCTGCTTCATTGTGCAGTGTGGTACCAAATCAGAAGCTCAGTGGAAGCCTGTCAACGGAGATCACCAAGCTCACAGCCCTCACCATGCTGTACGCCCTCCCAATCCTTTTCCATTGTCCACCCTGCCACAGTAACTGCTCTGTCCTGCTACTCGTGAGCCAAACCCAGCTTACTGTCCCGTGTGCTGTCTTTTTTGCTTCAGTCTTGATTCTCATATTACCTTTACGCCTGTGCGTGTGTGTTCATACATGTGTATCCGCTTGCTTGTGCATGTAAATTTGTCTACCTCGTGTGTCTGCATGCATGTGTGTGCATGCGTGTGCATGCGTGTGCGTGCATGTGTGCAGCGACCTGAGCTCCAATCTCTTCCAGCGCCGCCTGGATGTCTTTCTCTCGCTCGTCTCTGCCCTCAAGGCACTTCAAAATCTGTACGTTATACCATGTTCACATCACAGGCAGTGTGCGGATTGCTCTGTTCGTTTGGGTTTAGGGTTCTCCACACTGTACACAGTGCTGTTCACATTGACACTATATGCTTCACTCACTAATCTCACCTACTGTGCACTCCTATCCTCCTTCAATCTACCTCATGCCCCTCGAATCACATCACTCCCCACCCACAGTCACCTGCAGTACAACTGGTTCTCCAGCTCCATCCCCTCCTCTCTCGTCGCCCTGCCTGTTCTCTCCACCCTGTGAGTGACCCCCCTTCCAACCTTATGCTGACTCTAAAGAGCTGACAATATCATTTTCCGCCACCATCTTGTGCTCTCCTCTCCCACTCAACTCTTCTTCAGAAGCACACTCTCTTATACCATTTTCACATTCTGTACTCGGTCTTGACTCTCATGCATGACAATTACTCTTGCTGCTCTCTCTGACCTGTTCTTTTTCACTCCCACTAGCCCCTCTTCCTTCTCCACCCTCCACCACCCCTGCCCTGCCACCAGCTGTTGCTGCAGCAAGCTAACCGCAGCTATCTCACTGATTACTAAGCCTTCCACTCTCTATTCATCAATCCCGCCGCCTCCTCCCTTTCCTCATCCCCCTCTTTCACACCCTCCCCCCCTCTCCCTGCCATTTACCCCTATCTCCCCCCACCGCCACCCACAGCAAGCTGAATCGCAACTATCTGACGGGCACAGTGCCGGCGTTCAAGGCGTCACTCAAGGCCCTCAACGTGGCCAGCAACCTGCTCTCGGGCTCCTTCCCCATCGCCACCCTCACCGCCTGCGATGCCCGCTCCAACTGCCTCTCCAGCGCCACCAACTGCGCCAACGCTGCCGGCACGGCGCAGCAGGCGGCCGCAGATTGCAAAATCTGTGGGTCCACCGATGCTTCTGGCGTTCTGTGTGGGGGAGGGCTGTGCGCCCCTGATGCCTCCGCCCCTGCTGCCTCCTCCACCCCCAACACGGACGGCCAGCCGCTGCTGCCACTGAGCTGCCTGGGAGTGCCCATGGATGCGGCCATGGGGTTGGCGCTGCTGAGTGTGAAGGCATCGCTGGGTGTCACGTTCACGGATTGGAATGTGGATGCGCCGTGTGCACTGGCAGGGCAGGCCGTGGTGCCGGGCTCGTGGTCCAGCGTTGTGTGTGACGCCACCGGCAAGGTTCTCACCCTGTGAGTGCAGGGCATTCGTGCTTTTCCATTAAGCATCGTCTGATGTCTATGCTTCGGTTTGATGGATGGATTACGCCATTAATCAGTCATGCTGCCACGGAACCATGATGTCACCATGTTTCCATGTCACCATGTCACCATGTTTCCATGTCACCATGTCACCATGTTTCCATGTCACCATGTCACCATGTTTCCGTGTCACCATGTCACCATGTTTCCGTGTCACCATGTCACCATGTTTCCGTGTCACCATGTCACCATGTTTCCATGTCACCATGTCACCATGTTTCCATGTCACCATGTCACCATGTTTCCATGTCACCATGTCACCATGTTTCCATGTCACCATGTCACCATGTTTCCGTGTCACCATGTCACCATGTTTCCGTGTCACCATGTCACCATGTTTCCGTGTCACCATGTCACCATGTTTCCATGTCACCATGTCACCATGTTTCCATGTCACCATGTCACCATGTTTCCGTGTCACCATGTCACCATGTTTCCGTGTCACCATGTCACCATGTTTCCGTGTCACCATGTCACCATGTTTCCGTGTCACCATGTCACCATGTTTCCGTGTCACCATGTCACCATGTTTCCATGTCACCATGTCACCATGTTTCCATGTCACCATGTCACCATGTTTCCATGTCACCATGTCACCATGTTTCCATGTCACCATGTCACCATGTTTCCGTGTCACCATGTCACCATGTTTCCGTGTCACCATGTCACCATGTTTCCGTGTCACCATGTCACCATGTTTCCATGTCACCATGTCACCATGTTTCCGTGTCACCATGTCACCATGTTTCCATGTCACCATGTCACCATGTTTCCATGTCACCATGTCACCATGTTTCCATGTCACCATGTCACCATGTTTCCGTGTCACCATGTCACCATGTTTCCGTGTCACCATGTCACCATGTTTCCGTGTCACCATGTCACCATGTTTCCATGTCACCATGTCACCATGTTTCCATGTCACCATGTCACCATGTTTCCATGTCACCATGTCACCATGTTTCCATGTCACCATGTCACCATGTTTCCGTGTCACCATGTCACCATGTTTCCGTGTCACCATGTCACCATGTTTCCGTGTCACCATGTCACCATGTTTCCATGTCACCATGTCACCATGTTTCCATGTCACCATGTCACCATGTTTCCATGTCACCATGTCACCATGTTTCCATGTCACCATGTCACCATGTTTCCGTGTCACCATGTCACCATGTTTCCGTGTCACCATGTCACCATGTTTCCGTGTCACCATGTCACCATGTTTCCATGTCACCATGTCACCATGTTTCCGTGTCACCATGTCACCATGTTTCCATGTCACCATGTCACCATGTTTCCATGTCACCATGTCACCATGTTTCCATGTCACCATGTCACCATGTTTCCATGTCACCATGTCACCATGTTTCCGTGTCACCATGTCACCATGTTTCCGTGTCACCATGTCACCATGTTTCCGTGTCACCATGTCACCATGTTTCCATGTCACCATGTCACCATGTTTCCGTGTCACCATGTCACCATGTTTCCATGTCACCATGTCACCATGTTTCCATGTCACCATGTCACCATGTTTCCATGTCACCATGTCACCATGTTTCCGTGTCACCATGTCACCATGTTTCCGTGTCACCATGTCACCATGTTTCCATGTCACCATGTCACCATGTTTCCATGTCACCATGTCACCATGTTTCCATGTCACCATGTCACCATGTTTCCGTGTCACCATGTCACCATGTTTCCGTGTCACCATGTCACCATGTTTCCGTGTCACCATGTCACCATGTTTCCGTGTCACCATGTCACCATGTTTCCGTGTCACCATGTCACCATACCACCATGTTTCCATGTCACCATGCCGACGTTTTTCCATGTCACCATGCCACCATGCCACCATGTCACCATGTTTTCTTGTTGCCATGTGACCTTGTTTCCATGTCACCATGTGACCATGTTTCCATGTCACCATGCCACCTTGTTTCCTTGTCATCATGTTTCCATGTTGCGATGTGACCATGTTTCCATGTTGCCATGTGACCATGTTTCCGTGTCACCATGTGACAATAATTCCAAGTCATGATCATTGTCCCAACCACATCCTTGCGTTGCACAAACGCAGCAAGCTGGGCGATCTGCTGCTGCCAGGATCTGTCAACTCCTCAGTGTCAACACTCACCTCTCTCACCAGACTGTAAGCTGCGCCTTCCTATATTTCCCACCCACTGGTTAAACCACCAGTTTATCTTTCATTCACGGTGTGCACTTGACATGCTCGCATGCTCGCTCTGTCACATGCTCACACAATCACAAGCTCACATAATCATAAGCTCACACAATCACATGCTCACACAATAACATCCTCACGCAATCACATGCTCGGAGGGCACTTGTCTATGCTGTGCCATGCTGCAGCGAGCTGAACAACAACCTCTTCTCAGGCCGCCTGGATTCCTTCCTCACCCCTCTTCTTCCCGTCAAGACCCTCAAAGTCCTGTGAGTTGCACTCGCTGCACTGCATGTACTGCTCTCGCAACCACACTGCACCTCCAACCCCAAACTCACTGCCCCCGCAACCACACTGGATTCCCAACCAACCCAACCACAATATGGTGCGTGGCTCTATGGCTTTTACATGTCTTGCCCTTCTTTCCTGGCTTGCATTGTTTTCCGCACAGCACTCATTCATGTCAGGAATTATAAACAGTTCATACAGGCCAAGCCGCAGCAGGGCACCCAAAAGAAATCGTGCACCACTTAATATGTGATTCACAACCCTCTCTCCATATTTATCCCCTCATTAACCCACCAGCCACGTCCACAACAACTACCTGTCGGGCTCCGTGCCACCATCACTCACTGTTTTCTCCGCCCTCTCTGAACTGTGAGCTCTCTCACCTCCCCTTTTGACACAAAGTTCTTCTCCACCGTAATAGCAGTGTCTAGACGAGATCTTTGCACTGCACCCACCTTCTAGATTTGCCTGACAGAGCTATGTGGTTCATGCAGCAAGCCTGTAGTACATGGGTGCTGGTCATAACTCATCACCTCTTCCCTTCCCTCTTCGCCTCTCCATTCTTCCACACTCAGATTCAGCCCCTACCTTGTGAGCCAGCCCCCACCTTGTGAGCCAGCCCCCACCTTGTGAGCCTTCATCCCCCACTCCCCTCCCCCTTGCCCATCTCAGCAAGATCCAGGGCAACTACCTGACGGGCAGCATGCCGGCAGCGCTGCCGGCGTCCCTCAAGTACCTGGACGCATCAGGGAACTACCTGGTGGGAACGTTCCCCACCACCACCACCACCTACTGCAGCTGCGCCAGCAACTGCTTCAAGGACAGCACCAAGTGCACCAGCGGCAGCACGCAGCGAGCAGCAGCAGCATGTGCCATCTGCGGCAGCACCAACGGCACCGGGGCGCTCTGTGATGGCGGCACGTGTGCTCCCAGTTCGACGGCTCAGATCGCAGCAAAGACTGTGAATACGGGGACGGCTGAGATGTACAGCGCTGGTGCTCCCATGGATGCTGCCATGGGTGAGTGCAGCGAGCAGTGACGCCAGGCACGAGAGGGGTCAGTCTAGGCATGAGAGGTGAGGCCAGGCTTGAGAGGTGAGGCCAGGCTTGAGAGGTGAGGCCAGGCTTGAGAGGTGAGGCCAGGCTTGAGAGGTGAGGCCAGGCTTGAGAGGTGAGGCCAGGCATGACTAAAGATATGATGGCACTGAGTTGAGTGCCGCCATGGGTGAGTGCCTCGAGCAGTGAGGCAAGGCACGATGGGTGTGTGTGTGAAAAGGGGATAGGTGAGAAAGTGGTTGAACAAGGGGGAGGAGGGGGGACATGTGTGCAAGAAGGCCTTGCACGAGTGCCTGCCCCGTTCCATATGACCATTGTACCGACAATGATCTAACAAACATTATACAGTCATATCAGACCACAGTTCACCTTGCTCCAAGAATCGTCCACATTACTCTCTCACGGTCTCACCTCCCTTCCCCCCCCCTCCCTCCCAACCCCTCCCTCCCAACCCCTCCCTCCGCCACCCCTAGCTGCGGCGCTACTGAGTGTGAAGGCATCGCTGGGAGTGTCATTCACCAGCTGGGCGGTGAGCTCGCCGTGTGCCGTGGAGGGAGTGGCAGCACCGCCAGGCGCGTGGTCCAACGTCCTCTGCAACTCTGCCTTCAAACCCGTCTCCCTGTCAGTCACCCGTCTCCCTGTCAGTCACCCGTCTCCCTGTCAGTCACCCGTCTCCCGGTCAGTCACCCGTCTCCCTTTCAGTCACCCGCTCCTCACACCGCAGCAGACTTACCCAAGCCACCACCGTTGCTGCTGCTGCTCCTCCTGCTGCTCCTGCTGCTCCTCGCTGCTGCTGCTGCTGCTATGCTGCTGCTGCTGCTATGCTGCTGCTGCTGTTGCTGCTGCGGCTACTGCTGTTTCTGCTGCTGCTGTAGCTGCTACTAAGGCTGATCTGAGAGTTCCATAAGTTCACCTTTTAAGTGAATTACTGTTTCAGTTTCTGTCAGCACCCCATGTCTTTGGACGTCCTTGCTCCAGCTAACAGTTTTTGGCTGTTATGGGTTGTGCTTGGCTGTTTCTGGCTATGCTGGGCTGTGGTTGGTTGTGTCTGGCTGCGTCTGGTGTCCTGACGTGTGTGGATGAGCAGCAAGCTGTCGGGGCAGAAGCTGGCAGGAAAGATGCACTCTGACATCTCCAAGCTCTCCACCCTCACCTCCGTGTAAGTCCATTCTTCACTTCAGGCGCCTCATAGCTCTCCCCGACCAACCCTACCTCGCTGCGTCATGTGTTGGTATTCCCACTCGTGCCTCCCATGCTTCATCTTTGATTTCGTATCGTCCAAATTGTATCAGCCTCCCTTCCGACCACCTCCCACATTCATATATTAAATGCATTCACTGAATCCGGTATGACACCGTTCAACTTATGCACTCACCCCCATTGCCTGCTCATCTACTCATTTGAAATCGACCCGTGCTGCTGTTTCTCCTCATGGTCTCTCTCCCCAGCGAGCTTTCTCTGATTCTTCTCTTGCTCAATTCTCTTTGTTCTTCAACTCGACCCATGCTGCTGACTCAAATCTTCTTGTGTGTCTGTCTCATACATCCCTTGCCTCTCTCCCTCCTCTTTAGACCTCATAAACCCACTCCCTGTCTCCCCATGCACCCCTTACAGTGATTTCAGCAGCAACCTATTGCAGGGGCGTCTGGATGCATTCACAACCGACTTCAAGGCGCTCACCTCGCTCAAGCAAGCGTGAGTGGCGTGGCCGTGGTGCTTCTCTGCAGCAGAGCAGAGCGCAGATAGGGCAGAGCACAAGCTGTTAGCTTGTAGAGCAGAGCACACATTGTTGGAACACAAGAAGGAACATGGGAGGAGGCAGGCTGCTGAAGTACCGCCAACATGGGGTTGGGTTGCCTGCTGCAACTGTCTCTACCTACCACAACATGCATTACATAAACTTCTCATTCCTTCTTATGAACTCTCCAGATTTTCTTCTCACCCTCCTATCTCCATCCCCCAATGATTCTATCCACTCCCCTCCTCTCCCCGCCTCTTCCCTCCTCTTCCCTCCTCTCTTCTGCTCTTCCGTCCTCTCCGTTCCACTTCTCAGAACTTCCCACATCCGCTCCCACATTTTTACCACTTTTCCTTTCATTTCCGCTTGGACGCCTACCCCCACCTGCCCTCCCCTCGCAATCCTCAACTTCAATCAACCTCAACTGGGTCTCGCCCTCCAACAATTCCGCCTCGCCCATGGCAGCAACTTCAACTTCAACTGGTTCGCTGGGTCCATCCCCTCTGCCCTTGTGGGCATCACCTCCCTCACATCATTGTGAGACCTTCTCGCCCTCTGCTTCTCACCCATTCTGCCTGCTGCGCAGCTGCCTTGCTCCCCACTTCTTAGCCACTCGCTCCTCCTGATCCCTCATTGCCTTCGCTCCTGCTGGATCACTGTATTTGCCCACCTCTCACCTTTACACTCAATTTCCCATGCTGTCATGCACTCAATCTCACTCTCACCCTTTCCCTTCAGCGGTGCGAGCTACAACTACCTGTACGGCCCCGTGCCCAAGCTCGGCACGGCTCTCAAGACCATAGACCTGCAGAAGAACTGGCTGTCCGGCACATTCCCCGGCACTGGCTTCCTCTCCTGCTCTGCCTCCTCCAACTGCTTCGCCAACTCAGGCGCATGCAACACCACAGGCACCACGCAGCGCCCATTGGCTTCTTGCGCCGTCTGTGACTCTCCCACTGGGGCTGATCCCATCTGTGCCGGCGGCACCTGTGCTCCCAACACTGCCGGCCCTCTTGCCTCCTCCACCACCCCCACCACCTCGTCTCCCATTCTCCCGCGCTTCTGTGTGGGTGTGCCTTTGAACGCAGTGCAAGCCGCCATTCTCCTCTCTGTGAAGACGGCTCTCGGGGTCACCTTCACCGAGTGGTCTGCCAGTACCCTTGCAGTAGCCCCCAAGGCCAAGCCCCTTGTCAGAGAATCCAGGAACGGGCTCAAGGCGATGGGGCGGCGGCGCTTGGCAGAGAGTGAAGCGGGCAGGGAGAGGGTGCTTCTGGTGGCTCCCCCCTCGCCTTTAGGGCAGGCGGGTCTGTGCACGATTCAAGGCCAGACGCCCGTGCCTGGCTCCTGGCCGGGCGTGTTCTGCTCTTCTGCTGGCATGGTTGTTGGCCTGTGAGTGCTGCCGTCCCTCTCCTCAAAACAACAAAACCCCTTGGTAATATTCTGTGCTGTCTTGCCTTGTGTGTTGTGAACCCACTACTCAATGCCAATCGCTGACCTCATGCCTAACTTGAAAGCACCACTCTGCCTTCCAAGTTCTCTCTCTATCTCTGCTGCTCCCTCCGCCCCTGTTGCCCCCTCTGTCCCTTTTGTTCCCTCTGCCTCTGCGCCCTCCCTGCCTCTGCTGCTCCCTCTGCCCCTGCTGTGCCACGGCACGGCCCCCTCTCTGTGGTGGGCAGGGATCTTCGGAGTGACCTGCTGCGAGGCACCGTGCACGCCGACATTTCCAAGCTCACCACACTCACTGCGCTGTAAGGCCTTTGGTTTTGGACTTTGAGCTAAGAATTTGTGGTTCACATATGCCCAGTGGGGTGTGGCACAGGTGACAGACATTTCTTCTGTGTGGTATGTACCGTGTTGTTCGCAACCTTCACTGCACTCATCTATGTATTCCGCATTACAGTTCGTACCCAACTGGCCTCACTGCACATACAGCATTCCCAATCAATTCCCAAATCATCCCCCTCCTTCCCTTCTTACCCCGTGAATTTCGCTTTCTCCATCAAATCTCTCCCCCCCCCCCCGCCCCCCTCTTCCAATGAATCCCATACATGTGTGCCCCATGAGCAGCTACCTGTCATCCAATCTGTTTTACCAGCGTCTTGACTCCTTTGTGGCTCCTATCCTGCCCACGGCCTCTCTCAAGGAGTTGTGAGTGCATGTCCTTCCCACAGCCTCTTTCATGAAGCTGTGAATGCTGCCACTTGCACGCACTCAAGCTTTTTAGGCTTGTGATTCTCGGTTCAGTACTGTCTCCGGTTCTAAGTGCTGCTCATGTGTCCCAGACAGACCTGTGTAGGATCAATGATGCAAGGTTGAAGCTTGTTGCACAGCCAGCCTTCACCTGTCCTTCCGCTGCCCCACCTGTTGGTGGACCTAGCTCCTCCTCAGAACCTTCTCACAAAATTCTTCCCACCTTCTATTCCGCTGCTGTATTGTTGTAGCACTAGCCATTTCCCTCGTTGGTTTCTCGTCATCTGCCATTCACCATGCGCATTTGTCAACTCCTTTAAGCTCATGTTCGTGGTTGTGCGCTCTTGTGGGCACATGCATGTGTGCGTGTGCACCTGTGAATCATGTGTGTGTATGTGTGCATGCATGCATCATGCATGCTCTCTGCATGTGTAACTGTGTGCATGTGTATCTGTATGTGTGTGTGTACGTGTCGGTGTCTGCATGTGTGCCCTTGTGCTCGCCTGTACGTGTCCCACCAGGGCGGTGAGCTTCAACTGGCTCTACGGCTCTGTGCCATCCAAGCTCCTCACCATGGCCGCCCTCTCCAATCTGTAACAACCCGCACCTAAACCCGCTGTCTCTTGTATTTGCAAGAAACTTTTGAGAAAACTCTAACAGCAATGTCGGAGAATCATCCTCTGTTGCTTCCCGTGGCTTGCCTTCTCCTTCCCCGACTCACCCTCGCTCCCTTCTTCTTCTGAGCTCTGTTCCTGTGATACCTTACCTGCTCTGCCTCAGCCACTACCTGCCCCCTCCAGAGCTCGTGCTCGGGTCTCCCGTGCACGTGTCACTGGACACTCTCGCTGAGGCCGGTTGCTTTTCACCACTGCAGCATTCGTCAGATGGTACCCTGTCTACTCTCTTCTCTGATTCCTCAGCACCAGCACTCTTGGACGCCTCAGGTCCTTCGTCTCCCTTCGCTGTGTGTCTGGTACCACTTTCCGAGTATCCCCCTCTGCAGGTAGGCTTCCTGTCTCGCTTCCGCTGGCGTAGCTGTCGTTTTTGTCGCCCTGCTGCAGTCTCTGCTTGTGCCTGTACGTGTGCATTTCGCAACTCTATTGTACGCATGACCTCCGCCGCTGCTGTTTTCTCCTCGTCCAGGTATTCTGCTGCCTTGGCTCCCTCCCATGCCACCCAGTTCGCAGCCCCTTTCATTCCCGCTGGTCCTGGCAGCACCTGTGTTGCTGGCTGCATCGCCTCAGCTTCCCATATTCCTCGCTTACTCCACCTTACTGTCTTCACGGCCTCTTTTCCTTCCGGACTCATCGCATCTCCCGTTGTGTGCCCTACTTCTTCCCCTGCAGGCAGGCACTCCCATGTCCCCACCTCCTTGTTCTCCCTCTCTGCTTCCTCCCGCTCCTGAGCTTTGGCCCACACTGGACCTTCCCATCCTCCTACCCGTAGGTCTCCTTGCCCCCAGTCGCACGCCATCTCCACTTTCATGCTGCTCACACCTGTCTCAGCTCCTCTCACGGCTTCTTTCACCATTTTCGCCCCCAGCATCTGTGGAGGTTCTTTCCTCAGCTTCCGCACATGCTGCTTCGCCATCCTACTTCCCTGCACTTGCTTCTCTGGCTTTAGTACACACGGCCGTGCCCCCACCTTCTCGTCCTTCCCTTCCGCCTCTGCTACTGCTGGTACACACGCTCCCGCCCCCACCTGCACTTCCTTTTTCTCTACCTTCGCTGCTGCTGTTACATACGCTCCCGCCCCCACCTGCACTTCCTTTTTCTCTACCTTCGCTGCTGCTGTTACATACGCTCCCGCCCCCACCTGCTCTTCCTTTTTCTCTACCTTTGCTGCTGCTGTTACACACGCTCCCGCCCCCACCTGCTCTTCCCTTTTCTCTACCTTCGCTGCTGCTGTTACATACGCTCCCGCCCCCACCTGCACTTCCTTTTTCTCTACCTTCGCTGCTGCTGTTACATACGCTCCCGCCCCCACCTGCACTTCCTTTTTCTCTACCTTCGCTGCTGCTGTTACATACGCTCCCGCCCCCACCTGCACTTCCTTTTTCTCTACCTTCGCTGCTGCTGTTACACACGCTCCCGCCCCCACCTGCTCTTCCCTTTTCTCGACCTTCGCTGCTGCTGTTACACACGCTCCCGCCCCCACCTGCTCTTGCTTTTTCTCTACCTTCGCTGCTGCTGTTACATACGCTCCCGCCCCCACCTGCACTTCCTTTTTCTCTACCTTCGCTGCTGCTGTTACATACGCTCCCGCCCCCATCTGCTCGTTCTTCCCTTCCGCGCCGGCAGCTACCAGTCCACACGCCCCTGCCCCCTTCTTCTCGTCCTTCTCTTCCCCTTCTGCTGCTGCCCTTGCTCCCACCTCCTCGTCCTTCCCTTCCGTGCCTGCCGCTTCTGGTTCATCCGCCCATGCCCCCACCTTCTCGTTCTTCCCTACCAAATCTGGTGCTACTTGCACACACACCCATGCCCCCACCCTACTCACTTGCTTCCTTCTACCGTCCCTGCCCCCACTGCGCCACCCCATATCTTCATGGCGATGCAGCACCGCACAGGAGTACTCTGGCTCCTGCTCTTCTTCCTCCTCTTCCTCTTCCCTCGCGTACAGTCCTCCTGCTTCTTCCTCTGTCTTGCCTCCCAAAGCCTGCATCTGAGCCCGCAGCCTTCGTATCTGAGTTTCTATCTCCTCTTGTGACCTCCTCGCTCCCCCAATCCTCTGATAACAGTCTTTCTGCTGATGCCCCCTCTTTCCACACACCCCACAGGTTGGCGCGTCAGGGCAGTTCTGACGGCGGTGCCCTGGTTTCCCACACACGTCGCAGTTCTTGCAATTCAACTTCACATGTCCCGGCTGTCCACACCTGTAGCAGGTTCTCGTGTCTGTCCTTCTCTCATGTTGCTGCTCCTCTCCGCCTCCCGCCCCTGGTGTCATTGCTGCCGCCCAGGTGGGTCGCATCTTCTCTGCCGCCCTTGGCAGGTATGCCTCATAACGCCTCTGTGCCAACTCCACCTTTTCTGTTAGCTCAAACACTTCCTCCACGGTTGCTTCTGCCCCCAGCTCGTAGACTCTCATTTTCAGTCCTCCGGCCAGCCCGTCGTCCAATCCTGCCAGGAACTTACTGATCAGCATGCTGCTGTCGGTACACACCACATCCTCGGCCAGGTTCATGAGCCGCCCATAATACGTCAGCAGCGACTCGTCCTCCCTGCGTTTGAAGTCCTGAAACTCCCTGATTCGCTCTGCCGTATGTCTTGGGAATTGCTTGCGCAGCCGCTCCAGGAACAGTGACGTAGGGTCGTCCCCATCCTCCTCGGCCCTCCTCAGCCACTCTTGCATCTTCATACGATACAATGTTTCTGCTTCCCCACCCAAAGTGTTCGGCAGACTCAAAAAGAAGTCGATGGGGTCCATCCCACTCCGATCACACCTGTACTTGACATTCCCAATCTGCATCAGATAATTCTTCAGAGTAGTGCTTGTCCCTTCATTCCCCGTGAAGCGCACAGGCACCTCTACTTGTGGTGGCGCCCGCGTGCCCCATCTCCCTGAGTCCCAGGTTCCCGTTGCTCCTCGCTCTGCGCGGCTGACTTCTTCTCTGTGCTCCCTCATTCCCCTGCTGCCTGTGCTTGTTCCATACAAGACCCTGTATATTCCTTCTCTAGCAACTCTGGCTTCGCTGGATCCTTTTCCTGCCTGCCGTGGCCTCCTAAGGCCTCTCGGACTCGGACTCCTTCTCCGCTCCTCCTCGTAAGCCTCTCTTTCCCCGCCTGCTTCCCCCCATCGCCTTTCCCTCCTCTCAGGCGAATATTCCTGGAATTGCCTTTCTCGCTTCCTCCTTTCCCGCTGCTGCCGGTCCTCTCTCTCAGGAAACTCTCTCCGTTCTTCCTGCCTTCTCCTCTGCCCCTCTCTCCTTCCAGTGAAATATTCTTCCCAGCATTCTTCCCTTTGTCCCGCTCCATGGCGTGCCCGCCTATCACTCTCTTCCTCTTCCCCGCTCTCTGCTTCATACTCGTGCATCTCCTCCCGTCGCATGTGCTGCTTGTCACCTCTCTTCCTCTGTCCGCTTAGGTCCTGCTTCTCCCTTACTCCTGCACCAGGTTTCCGACGCCCTTCTTGCCTTCCCCTGTACCCCTCTCTTCCTTCAAAGTTTGATCCCTTCTCCTTCTTACCCCGGTGGCACCAATCCAGCCCATGCTCATGTTCCTCCCTTGCCCTTTCTGTCCTCCCTTCAGGCGACCTCTCACCCCTTCTGTATTGCTCCTCCTCTCTCCATTTCAGCTTCTCCTTTTCTTCGTCCCACGGCTCTGGCGATCGCCGAGCTCCCATCACCATACGCCTCCTCCTCTCAGTTTCTGGCTGTGGCTCCGGCGATCCGTCTTCCCCACGCATGCGCCCTGTCGCGCGGTCATTCTCCTTGCTCTTGCGGCGCCTCGCGCCACTCCCGCGCACCTCCCCTGGCGCGCGATCTTCATCCGCGCTGCTCCCCTGGCGCCTCGCGCCACTCCCGTGCCTTTCGTCAGCAGAACGCTCCGCATCCGCGTCCCCGCGGCGCCTCGCGCCATTCCCGCGCATTTCACCGTCCGATCCGTCTGCATCTGCGCTCCCGCAGCGCCTCGCGCCATTCCCGCGCAATTCACCCTCCGATCCGTCTGCATCTGCGCTCCCGCAGCGCCTCGCGCCATTCCCGCGCATTTCACCGTCCGATCCGTCTGCATCTGCGCTCCCGCAGCGCCTCGCGCCATTCCCGCGCACTTCGTCTGTCGAGCGACTCGATCCCGTCGCCTTTCCGCACTCTTCGCGTTTCTCTCCGCGGTGCATCTCGCCTCCCTCGCGCATGTCGTCCGGCAAGCGATCTGCTCCCGCGTCCCTTGGATCATCTTCCGCCGTCTCCTCGCCGTCGGCCTCGTTTGCCAACATCAGCGAGTCCGTCTCGTCGGCATCCTCCTGATGCCTTACTCCCGCGCCCCGCTGGCCTCTTGCCAGATCCCAGGGATCGCTCCTCGACGGCTGGGGTCCTGGCGCCGATCTCGTCTGCAGACCGAGCTCGCCTTCGCCGCGCCGTCCGTCGCTGGTTGCCATCCGATCCACCCGATCCGCCTCTCTCCTAGGCGAGCGACCTGGCGATCTTCCCCGCTCCTTTGAGCGCATCCTTCGCGGCGGTGGTAACTCCCGACGCGAGTACGTCTGCTGCCACTGCAGCTCATGGCAGTCCATTCTGCCCGATCTTGGTTCTCTTGTTTGTGAGAGATTCTGCATCCCCCACGTATGGCTGCCCACAGTGGCTTAGTCGCCTAAGCTGGAGTTAGCTATCAAACGGCAACCTATATCCACTATTACGAGCAAACAAACAGGAGAACGAACTAAGCAGTGAGTTCCTAGCCTATTTGAGTCTCTACCCCGTGCCGTGCAGTTTCCCGTAAGTCACATTGGGCTCCGCCCGCTAGGCTTCAGATTGGCCCTTCGGATTGCCCAGGGCTCGCCCTTGAATTTGTCCCACCCTGCGCCTCGCAAGTCCCTGAGTCACCACTTCGCGTCACTACCCACGCACCAAACTCACCTTCTACAGTACTTCGATTAACCCTACTACACCTACACTAGCGAGTAACAGAATATATTGCAAACAACAATCTATTCGGTGACAGCAAATCCTGAAACGTGTACCATGATGACCATACCACACTCCCCAACCTGCAACACACTATCATCCTCTTCACTTCACCTTCCACCTCCACTTCCCTTTCCTACTCCACCATTCCCTTCCATCCCTTTGATTTGAGCTCCTCCATAACCCACCCCCCCCCTTGTTACCATTCCTATCTTATTTTCTCCCTTCCATTTTCCCACCTTTCTTCCCTCCTCTTCCCTCCTCGTCCCCCCGCCATCCCAACCACCAGTCGCTTCAGCTACAACTATCTGACAGGCACGCTGCCCAAGCCTGGTGCCACCCTCAAGGGTCTCAGCACGCAGGCCAACTTCCTCTCGGGCACTTTCCCCACGGCCACACTGGCAGCCTGCAACGCTCGCCTCAACTGCTTCACTGATGCCTCAGGCTGCTTCAACCTGGATGGAACGGAGCAGAGGACAGCAGCAGAGTGCAGCATGTGTGGGTCACTAACCAAGAAGCAGCAGACGCTGTGTGGAGGCGGCATCTGCTTGCCCATCATCTCTCCTTCCCTCGCCAAGGTTCCCAACAGTGCTTCTGCTCCCATCCTCCCGATGACATGTGCTGCCGTGCCCCTTGATGCAACCTCCGGTGAGCCTCTTCCTTTCCTTACCTGCTGCTGCACGAGCCTTTGGACCTTGTCTTTCCAAATCCCTCTCACTTGCCTTCACGTGCGCTGCTGTGATCTCTGGATTCACCCCTCTTTATTCCTTTCCCCCATTGTCGCTGCATAAACGTCCCTCTCTTTTAATGTGCCACCAACTATACCATCATCCGCACACCACACAAGAAAAGTACGCTCCTGTGCCGCAAGCACATTCCTTGCAAGCCTGTGTCTCTAGACCCTCCTTCACCACTCTGCAAGCCTTGCTACTAGACCCCCCTTCACCACTCTGCAAGCCTTGCTACTAGACCCCCCTTCACCACTCTGCAAGCCTTGCTACTAGACCCCCCTTCACCACTCTGCAAGCCTTGCTACTAGACCCCCCTTCACCACTCTGCAAGCCTTGCTACTAGACCCCTCGTTCACCACTCTCCAGGCCTGTAACTCTATAGACTGCATGCACCGACTCAGTATCCTCTTCCCCTCGCCTCTCCACATGCACTCCCACCACCGGCAGTGTCAGCACTTTTGAGCATAGGGGCGGCTCTCGGGGTGAGAGACACGGACTGGCGCAACGGCAGCAAGTGCAACATTGAGGGGCAGACCGCCAACCCCAAGTCGTTTCTGGGCGTGTGGTGCAACGCCAACGGCACCGTCCTCTCCATGTGAGCCCCCCTTCCCTCCTATTACCCTTGCACTCGCTCTCGTTCAAATGGTCCTTATATTGATGTGGCACGAGGTACACAGAAAGTAGCTGTAAGTATGGCAGGGTTCCTACGTCTAAACAGTCAGGCCTAGCCTGCAAAAAATCCCCAAAGGATCCAGCATGTGGGGGGTAGAGCGGTGTCTCGTCCCCCTAGTGGCGGATTTCCCGCTTGCGCTGCGAAAAAGTCAACTGACTTTCCTCTCTGTATTGATACTACCCACCACTGCCTTCCCTCTCTGTAGTCCATCTATCCACATGCTTCATGCTAACCCCATGCCTTCTACTAACGCCATGGCAGCACGTTGCCCAACAAGGCACTGAGGGGCATCATCCATGCCGATATCTCCAAGCTCACTGCCCTCTCCTACCTGTACGTCCCAACCCTCAACCTCAACCCCACGCCACCTGGGGTGTTTGCTGCAAACATGTCATAACTTTCACAATCATGCTAAGGTCAAATTGAAGTCTGCCCGCCCAGCTCCAACTCTTACCTGTATCAATCCCTTCTCCCTCTTCTCTCTTCCGACGTCTCGCCCCTCCTCTCCCTCCTTCCCGTGCTCCTCCTCTCCCACGCCCACTCGCAGCGATTTGTCCTACAATCTCTTCTCTGGTCAGCTCTCCAAGTTCGTCTCCAACATGCTGCCGCTGACCACCATGGCCACTCTGTGAGTTCACTAATCAAAACTTCCAAACGTCACATCCGCATGGCCAATCTGCGAGTAGAACTCCCAAACGTCTCACAAGCATGGCCCGTTCTGTGAATTTACTTGCAAGACAGTTTGTTGTCTTGAATCATCCAGGTCCTGTTCGAGCTGCCATTTCTTCTATGCATTAGACCAGTGCATCTCCTGCGTTGAATCACCTGCTCATGTGTCACGGACTTGTGCGTCATGAGCTGTTCTGACCCATCATGTGCCTACCGCATCCCGTTACACATTCACTCACCAGTCCTCACCCTATTCACTCAAACCCCTGTGTGCTTCTCATTTGCGTGCCTGAGCATTTCCAGGAACCTCAACTCCAACTACCTCTATGACAGTATCCCATCGGCTCTGGTCAACATGCCTAAACTCACGGAACTGTCAGTTTCTCCACATACCCATGCCCATACCTATGATATGCCCATGCCCATACCCATGCCCATGCCCATGCTATGACCATGCCCATACCCATGCCCATGCCCATGCTATTCCCATGCCCATACCCATACCCACACCCATACCCATACCCATGCCCATACCCATGCCCATGCCCATGCTGTGCCCATGCCCATGCCCATGCTATACCCATGATGCCCATGCCCATGCCCATGCTATGCACATGCCCATGCTATACCCATGCCCATGCTATACCCATGCCCATGCTATACCCATGCCCATGCTATACCCATGCCCATGCCCATGCTATACCCATGCCCATGCCCATGCTATGCCCATGTCCATGCTATACCCATGCCCATGCCATGCTATGCCCATGCACATGCTATACCCATGCCCATGCCCATGCTATGCCCATGCCCATGCTATGCCCACCCATGCTATCCCCTTGCCCATGCTATGCCCATGCCCATGCTATGCCCATGCCCATGCTATACCCATGTCCATGCTATGCCCATGCCCATGCTATACCCATGCCCATGCCCATGCTATACCCATGCCCATGCCCATGCTATACCCATGCCCATGCTATACCCATGCCCATGCTATACCCATGCCCATGCTATACCCATGTCCATGCTCATGTCCACGCCAATGCCCATGCCCGTGCCTGTTACCATTGGCCTCCAACCCCTCTCCTTCGCTTCCTTCACCTACTCCCCCCCACCTCCACTCCCCACAGCCGGCTGGGAGCGAACTACCTGACGGGCACGCTGCCAGCCATGGCCACGCAGCTGCAGGTGCTGGCCATCGCCAGCAACCTCCTGGCGGGCGCCTTTCCCACGCAGCCCTTCCAGCTGTGCGACATCCGCAGCAACTGCCTCTCCTCGCCGGGCTCCTGCGCCAACGATGCCGGTGTGGCTCAGCGCACCTCCGGCTGTGCCTTCTGTGGTTCCGCCACGGGCGCCCCGCCTTTCTGTGCGGGCACCGCCTGCACTCCCGATGTCGCTGCTCGCCTTGCTGCCGGCACCGTCAACACCCCTGCTGCCGCCCTCCTAGCAATGTTCTGCCAGGCGGTTCCCGTTGATGACAACTCCGGTGAGTGGGGATTTATATCCCTTCGTGATAGTTGAAACGTATCGGTTCATAGGACCGGACAGCAGGGGTGTGTGGATCCAGAACCAATGCGAGTGGGCTCCTTCTCCGTCAAGACCCTTCTCCGTCAAGACCCTTCTCCGTCAAGACCCTTCTCCGTCAAGACCCTTCTCCGTCAAGACCCTTCTCCGTCAAGACCCTTCTCCGTCAAGACCCTTCTCCGTCAAGACCCTTCTCCGTCAAGACCCTTCTCCGTCAAGACCATTCTTCGTCAAGACCCTTCTTCGTCAAGACCCTTCTTCGTCAAGACCCTTCTCCGTCAAGACCCTTCTCCGTCAACACCCTTCTTCGTCAAGACCCTTCTCCGTCAAGACCCTTCTTCGTCAACACCCTTCTCCGTCAAGACCCTTCTCCGTCAAGACCCTTCTCCGTCAAGACCCTTCTCCGTCAAGACCCTTCTCCGTCAAGACCCTTCTCCGTCAAGACCCTTCTCCGTCAAGACCCTTCTCCGTCAAGACCCTTCTCCGTCAAGACCCTTCTCCGTCAAGACCCTTCTCCGTCAAGACCCTTCTCCGTCAAGACCCTTCTCCGTCAAGACCCTTGCCATTCTTCATCAAGACCCTTCTTCGTCAAGACCCTTCTTCGTCAAGACCCTTCTTCGTCAAGACCCTTCTTCGTCAAGACCCTTCTTCGTCAAGACCCTTCTTCGTCAAGACCCTTCTTCGTCAAGACCCTTCTTCGTCAAGACCCTTCTCCGTCAAGACCCTGACCCTTCTCCGTCAAGACCCTGACCCTTCTCCGTCAAGACCCTTCTTCGTTAAGACCCTTCTTCGTCAAGACCCTTCTTCGTCAAGACCCTTCTTCGTCAAGACCCTTCTTCGTCAAGACCCTTCTTCGTCAAGACCCTTCTTCGTCAAGACCCTTCTTCGTCAAGACCCTTCTTCGTCAAGACCCTTCTCCGTCAAGACCCTTCTTTGTCAAGACCCTTCTCCGTCAAGACCCTTCTCCGTCAAGACCCTTCTCCGTCAAGACCCTTCTCCGTCAAGACCCTTCTCCGTCAAGACCCTTCTCCGTCAAGACCCTTCTCCGTCAAGACCCTTCTTCGTCAAGACCCTTCTTCGTCAAGACCCTTCTTCGTCAAGACCCTTCTCCGTCAAGACCCTTCTTCGTCAAGACCCTTCTCCGTCAAGACCATTCTTCGTCAAGACCCTTCTTCGTCAAGACCCTTCTTCGTCAAGACCCTTCTTCGTCAAGACCCTTCTTCGTCAAGACCCTTCTTCGTCAAGACCCTTCTTCGTCAAGACCCTTCTCCGTCAAGACCCTGACCCTTCTCCGTCAAGACCCTTCTTCGTCAAGACCCTTCTTCGTCAAGACCCTTCTTCGTCAAGACCCTTCTTCGTCAAGACCCTTCTTCGTCAAGACCCTTCTTCGTCAAGACCCTTCTTCGTCAAGACCATTCTTCGTCAAGACCCTTCTCCGTCAAGACCCTTCTTCGTCAAGACCCTTCTCCGTCAAGACCCTTCTCCGTCAAGACCCTTCTTCGTCAAGACCCTTCTCCGTCAAGACCCTTCTTCGTCAAGACCCTTCTTCGTCAAGACCCTTCTTCGTCAAGACCCTTCTTCGTCAAGACCCTTCTCCGTCAAGACCCTTCTTCGTCAAGACCCTTCTTCGTCAAGACCCTTCTTCGTCAAGACCCTTCTTCGTCAAGACCATTCTTCGTCAAGACCCTTCTCCGTCAAGACCCTTCTCCGTCAAGACCCTTCTCCGTCAAGACCCTTCTCCGTCAAGACCCTTCTTCGTCAAGACCCTTCTTTGTCAAGACCCTTCTTCGTCAAGACCCTTCTTCGTCAAGACCCTTCTTCGTCAAGACCCTTCTTCGTCAAGACCCTTCTCCGTCAAGACCCTTCTTCGTCAAGACCCTTCTTCGTCAAGACCCTTCTTCGTCAAGACCCTTCTTCGTCAAGACCCTTCTCCGTCAAGACCCTGACCCTTCTTCGTCAAGACCCTTCTTCGTCAAGACCCTTCTTCGTCAAGACCCTTCTTCGTCAAGACCCTTCTTCGTCAAGACCCTTCTTCGTCAAGACCCTTCTCCGTCAAGACCCTTCTTCGTCAAGACCCTTCTCCGTCAAGACCCTTCTCCGTCAAGACCCTTCTCCGTCAAGACCCTTCTCCGTCAAGACCCTTCTTCGTCAAGACCCTTCTTCGTCAAGACCATTCTTCGTCAAGACCCTTCTTCGTCAAGACCCTTCTCCGTCAAGACCCTTCTCCGTCAAGACCCTTCTCCGTCAAGACCCTTCTCCGTCAAGACCCTTCTCCGTCAAGACCCTTCTCCGTCAAGACCCTTCTCCGTCAAGACCCTTCTTCGTCAAGACCCTTCTTCGTCAAGACCCTTCTCCGTCAAGACCCTTCTTCGTCAAGACCCTTCTTCGTCAAGACCCTTCTTCGTCAAGACCCTTCTCCGTCAAGACCCTTCTCCGTCAAGACCCTTCTCCGTCAAGACCCTTCTCCGTCAAGACCCTTCTCCGTCAAGACCCTTCTCCGTCAAGACCCTTCTCCGTCAAGACCCTTCTGCGTCAAGACCCTTCTTCGTCAAGACCCTTCTTCGTCAAGACCCTTCTCCGTCAAGACCCTTCTTCGTCAAGACCCTTCTCCGTCAAGACCATTCTTCGTCAAGACCCTTCTTCGTCAAGACCCTTCTTCGTCAAGACCCTTCTTCGTCAAGACCCTTCTTCGTCAAGACCCTTCTTCGTCAAGACCCTTCTTCGTCAAGACCCTTCTCCGTCAAGACCCTGACCCTTCTCCGTCAAGACCCTTCTTCGTCAAGACCCTTCTTCGTCAAGACCCTTCTTCGTCAAGACCCTTCTTCGTCAAGACCCTTCTTCGTCAAGACCCTTCTTCGTCAAGACCCTTCTTCGTCAAGACCCTTCTCCGTCAAGACCCTTCTTCGTCAAGACCCTTCTTCGTCAAGACCCTTCTCCGTCAAGACCCTTCTTCGTCAAGACCCTTCTTCGTCAAGACCCTTCTTCGTCAAGACCCTTCTCCGTCAAGACCCTTCTCCGTCAAGACCCTTCTCCGTCAAGACCCTTCTCCGTCAAGACCCTTCTCCGTCAAGACCCTTCTCCGTCAAGACCCTTCTCCGTCAAGACCCTTCTTCGTCAAGACCCTTCTTCGTCAAGACCCTTCTTCGTCAAGACCCTTCTCCGTCAAGACACTTCTTCGTCAAGACCCTTCTCCGTCAAGACCATTCTTCGTCAAGACCCTTCTTCGTCAAGACCCTTCTTCGTCAAGACCCTTCTTCGTCAAGACCCTTCTTCGTCAAGACCCTTCTTCGTCAAGACCCTTCTTCGTCAAGACCCTTCTCCGTCAAGACCCTGACCCTTCTCCGTCAAGACCCTTCTTCGTCAAGACCCTTCTTCGTCAAGACCCTTCTTCGTCAAGACCCTTCTTCGTCAAGACCCTTCTTCGTCAAGACCCTTCTTCGTCAAGACCCTTCTTCGTCAAGACCCTTCTTCGTCAAGACCCTTCTCCGTCAAGACCCTTCTTCGTCAAGACCCTTCTCCGTCAAGACCCTTCTCCGTCAAGACCCTTCTTCGTCAAGACCCTTCTCCGTCAAGACCCTTCTTCGTCAAGACCCTTCTTCGTCAAGACCCTTCTTCGTCAAGACCCTTCTTCGTCAAGACCCTTCTCCGTCAAGACCCTTCTTCGTCAAGACCCTTCTTCGTCAAGACCCTTCTTCGTCAAGACCCTTCTTCGTCAAGACCATTCTTCGTCAAGACCCTTCTCCGTCAAGACCCTTCTCCGTCAAGACCCTTCTCCGTCAAGACCCTTCTACGTCAAGACCCTTCTTCGTCAAGACCCTTCTTTGTCAAGACCCTTCTTCGTCAAGACCCTTCTTCGTCAAGACCCTTCTTCGTCAAGACCCTTCTTCGTCAAGACCCTTCTCCGTCAAGACCCTTCTTCGTCAAGACCCTTCTTCGTCAAGACCCTTCTTCGTCAAGACCCTTCTTCGTCAAGACCCTTCTCCGTCAAGACCCTGACCCTTCTTCGTCAAGACCCTTCTTCGTCAAGACCCTTCTTCGTCAAGACCCTTCTTCGTCAAGACCCTTCTTCGTCAAGACCCTTCTTCGTCAAGACCCTTCTTCGTCAAGACCCTTCTCCGTCAAGACCCTTCTTCGTCAAGACCCTTCTCCGTCAAGACCCTTCTCCGTCAAGACCCTTCTCCGTCAAGACCCTTCTCCGTCAAGACCCTTCTACGTCAAGACCCTTCTCCGTCAAGACCCTTCTCCGTCAAGACCCTTCTTCGTCAAGACCCTTCTTCGTCAAGACCCTTCTTCGTCAAGACCCTTCTTCGTCAAGACCCTTCTTCGTCAAGACCCTTCTTCGTCAAGACCCTTCTCCGTCAAGACCCTTCTCCGTCAAGACCCTTCTTCGTCAAGACCCTTCTTCGTCAAGACCCTTCTTCGTCAAGACCCTTCTCCGTCAAGACCCTTCTTCGTCAAGACCCTTCTCCGTCAAGACCCTTCTCCGTCAAGACCCTTCTTCGTCAAGACCCTTCTCCGTCAAGACCCTTCTCCGTCAAGACCCTTCTCCGTCAAGACCCTTCTCCGTCAAGACCCTTCTTCGTCAAGACCCTTCTCCGTCAAGACCCTTCTTCGTCAAGACCCTTCTTCGTCAAGACCCTTCTTCGTCAAGACCCTTCTTCGTCAAGACCCTTCTTCGTCAAGACCCTTCTCCGTCAAGACCCTTCTCCGTCAAGACCCTTCTCCGTCAAGACCCTTCTCCGTCAAGACCCTTCTTCGTCAAGACCCTTCTTTGTCAAGACCCTTCTTCGTCAAGACCCTTCTTCGTCAAGACCCTTCTTCGTCAAGACCCTTCTTCGTCAAGACCCTTCTCCGTCAAGACCCTTCTTCGTCAAGACCCTTCTTCGTCAAGACCCTTCTTCGTCAAGACCCTTCTCCGTCAAGACCCTGACCCTTCTTCGTCAAGACCCTTCTTCGTCAAGACCCTTCTTCGTCAAGACCCTTCTTCGTCAAGACCC